TTCCTCGCAACCCCGGGGCCATTATTTTTCCCGTCATGGGCAAGACTGGCCGGGGGATCCATTCGTCACTGGCACGAGGTTTTCATGGTCTCTCCCAAAAAGACCGTAATATGTGGGACCCACGATGAATGAAAAAAAAAGGGAGAGAAAATTTGGGAACCAAAGGAAGTGTCACCCGGCGTTGGCGCGATGCCATCCTCGAGTCCGATCGCGATGTTCACGACTGATAGAACACGTCGCAATCACGGATCCGTGCGTACAAAAAAAGATAAATTAATAAAAAATGGGGGAAAAAGAAGAAGAAGAGAAGGGGTTTTTGCGCGAGTTGGGCTCGATTTGTTACCGATTTAGATGGTTCCACATTTCATAACCGTGGGGTCTTTTGCGGATAATTATTGATATGCTGCCTGTTTAAGCTTGGAGAATTCAGAGTTACGATTTTCCTAATTGGGTCCGATTTCCACAGTCTTTTGAAAATCATGTGATCCAGAAGCACGATTTGTATACCGAATGATATTTTTTTTTTAGAAAAGCCCACCTTTCATCGTGCAATGCAATCCCGGGATTCGGTCTTGAAGAAAAATAATCAACCTCTCCTGCTATGAATTTTAATTTGGGTACCGCTATGTTCGAAATTTTAAATGCAGATTGACAAGCGCTGACTCTGTCTGCTGGGCTGGATCATTTTATGATTTTTATGAATGCTGCTCAGCACATAGATTTAGTTGCAAGACGATTTTTCAAGTGACTTCTTCGCAGAATGATTCATTTTCTTCTATATACTGAATCCGNGCTGACTCTGTCTGCTGGGCTGGATCATTTTATGATTTTTATGAATGCTGCTCAGCACATAGATTTAGTTGCAAGACGATTTTTCAAGTGACTTCTTCGCAGAATGATTCATTTTCTTCTATATACTGAATCCGTGACATCGTGAATATTTCGCTGAATTATCCTCATTCATGGATGATATTCGTAGCGCCGAAGAGAGTCGAGATTACGTGAAAAACGGGAAACCCCAGACATTAGTAACACAGCAACAAATGTTTACTGCCTGAGCTAAGAAAATAAATCCTCAGGACTTTTCAAGATTACAGTAATGTACAAGACTCCTCCCTGGTGATTTGGGTATATGAGGAAGTTAATGTACTGTAGTGGAATTCCAAAAATAACGATCATTTCCTCTCGACATGAGTTCGATTAGGTGGAAAATTACTTCATCCCGAGAAGGACAATTTTTATTTTATTTTGCGCGTTTAATTATTGATGAATGAATCAATTTGAGATTTTTTGTGAGAAGTCCAACAATTTTTCTGCACACAAGCCTAGTATTCTCCGAATAATCATATTAACAAGAAATTTCGCCTTCTTTCGTGTAATTTTTTCGTGTATACTGCAACTTTTTTTGCACATACGTATACAGGTTTCGAACTGCTAATTCAGAATTTCTTCAAATGCGTTATTCTTCTTTAGTCACATCAGCGTAAGACAACCTATTATTTTTTTGCTAAAAAAACATAATTTTTTGCTTTTCATAGAACACTTTCTGGAAGATCACGATGATAAATTTCAATATTGTATTCAACTGTACTAGCAACACATATTTTTGTCCACTTACATTATTGCAGAATGAACTTCAGTATATTAGGGGATTTTGATCAACCGGTCGTTTGCCATAATAATATTTAGTTTTAACATTTAGCTTTAACTTCAGTACACCAATACAAAGGTTAATCACTTAAAGGGGTACTACAAAACTCTAAGGTAAGTCTTTCAATAAAACATCTCTAATGGCCATGTAAATATAAATAAAAAAGTATTTTTACAATGCATTTTCTCTCGAACTGGAAGGTCCACTTTTTGGGTTTCAGTATGATCCAGAGGCAGTCTTTTTGTACGTCATCATAAAAATTTCATTTTTAGAAAAGCTCACCTTTTGTTTTGCGAACCAAATCCGAAAATGGTCGCGAAGAAAAATAATCAGACTCTCCTGAAATTAATTTTAATTCGGGTACCGCAATGTTTGAAATTTTACATCTCAATTGACAAGGGCTGATTCTGTCTGGGTCGGATAATTTTATGAATGTTATACCTTGGTAGAACACGATAAAATATATTGATCTCGCCCAAATTCTAAAAAAAAAAATTTACAGTGGACCAAGATCCGAAAGCAGACATTAAAGTTTATGTCTCAAAAAAACTCATCTGTTCAGCACGGAACTTATCCTTTCAGAATAATCCGATCGTCCCTGAAAGTTTGATCAATCCTCGTGAAGCTGGAATGGAATTACATCTGTAAAATCATAGGAAAACCGAATTTTTCATCAGCATTAAACGTTATCCTAACAATCTCACCGTTATATTTCTCGACCTTGCAGCAGCCACCTATTAATAAAGGTAGACTCGTCTCTACATCCATCTTGTCTGCAACGATTTTTTTCGGTCAACATTATTGAGATTATCTACAAAGAAATATTCGCTACAACGAAAGTTCCTGGTTTCCTGAATTTCTTTGTACGGTACGTGCCTTTACAATGCAGTACTGTATGGGTATTATAGATACTGTACCTCCATGAGTCTATGGGACTCCAACCATATTATAGAGGTTACCTAAAACGAAATTCTGTGCACAACGATTTTTTCTGGTCTCCTAAATTTCGTTGTAGAGGAACACATAAAGGCTATCTATAGAGCAAAATTCTCTACACAAAGATTTTTTTGTCTTGAGAATTTGGTTTTAGAGAATTTGGTTAGGAGAATTTGGTTTTCTATGCCAAAAATAAATTCGTCATATCAAGAGAATCGAGGAAAACCTTACAACGACATTCTCTGTGCAACACATTTTTTTCGGTTGACCAGAAACAATCCTTGTAGAGAGAATTTCGTTGTAGAGCGTGTGATAAACATGAAAATGAATAAATGAATGGTACGTGGGATGTGCAATTTTCGAGCAGCCTCAAATGTTTTTGGAGCACAGTAGTTGAAAAAAAAGAGAAATCTTGATTGTTCAAAACGATTTGTCATGAGTTCTTCACTTTTGCCCCCAAAATGTTTGGGTAATTCGCTTGCTCGGGGTATAACCGGAGACTAGAATCAAAAACGTCTCGATGCCTCGCGGAACTGGGACAACCCTCGAACGTTGTCTAGAAACAACAATAACAACAAAACCTCAAGAGGTTTCCTATGTGTGTTCAATAGGTTACGGGTGGGATAAGTGAATNAAGTCCAACAATTTTTCTGCACACAAGCCTAGTATTCTCCGAATAATCATATTAACAAGAAATTTCGCCTTCTTTCGTGTAATTTTTTCGTGTATACTGCAACTTTTTTTGCACATACGTATACAGGTTTCGAACTGCTAATTCAGAATTTCTTCAAATGCGTTATTCTTCTTTAGTCACATCAGCGTAAGACAACCTATTATTTTTTTGCTAAAAAAACATAATTTTTTGCTTTTCATAGAACACTTTCTGGAAGATCACGATGATAAATTTCAATATTGTATTCAACTGTACTAGCAACACATATTTTTGTCCACTTACATTATTGCAGAATGAACTTCAGTATATTAGGGGATTTTGATCAACCGGTCGTTTGCCATAATAAATAAATCAAAATTGTAAATCGAAATTGAAGTCATGTGGTTATGTTTCCAATTAGTGAATTTCCCCATGATGTTTTGAGATTCCATTCAGAAAGTTATTTTGTAGAGATTACCGGTACATTTATATTTAAAAAAAGTATTTTTACAATGCATTTTCTCTCGAACTGGAAGGTCCACTTTTTGGGTTTCAGTATGATCCAGAGGCAGTCTTTTTGTACGTCATCATAAAAATTTAATTTTTATAAAAGCTCACCTTTTGTTTTGCGAACCAAATCCGAAAATGGTCGCGAAGAAAAATAATCAGACTCTCCTGAAATTAATTTTAATTCGGGTACCGCAATGTTCGAAATTTTACATCTCAATTGACAAGGGCTGATTCTGTCTGGGTCGGATAATTTTATGAATGTTATACCTTGGTAGATAACGATAAAATATATTGATCTCGCCCAAATTCTAAAAAAAAAAAAATTTACAGTGGACCAAGATCCGAAAGCAGACATTAAAGTTTATGTCTCAAAAAAGCTCATCTGTTCAGCACGGAACTTATCCTTTCAGAATAATCCGATCGTCCCTGAAAGTTTGATCAATCCTCGTGAAGCTGGAATGGAATTACATCTGTAAAATCATGGGAAAACCGAATTTTTCATCAGCATTAAACGTTATCCTAACAATCTCACCGTTATATTTCTCGACCTTGCAGCAGCCACCTATTAATAAAGGTATCCACTTACTCTACATCGATCTTGTATACAACGATTTTTTCGGTCAACATTATTGAGATTATCTACAAAGAAATATTCGCTAAAACGAAAGTTTCTGGTTTCCTGAATTTATTTGTACGGTACGTGCCTTAACAATGCAGTATGGGTATTATAGATACTGTACCTCCATGAGTCTATGGGACTCCACCCATATTATAGAGGTTACCTAAAACGAAATTCTGTGCACAACGATTTTTTCTGGTCTCCTAAATTTCGTTGTAGAGGAACGCATTATAAAGACTATCTATAGAGCAAAATTCTCTACACAACGATTTTTTTGTCTTGAGAATTTGGTTTTAGAGGGCCATATGGAACCAAAAATAAAATCGTCATACTAAGAGAATCAAGAAAAACCTTACAACGACATTCTCTGTACAACACATTTTTTTCGGTTGACCAGAAAAAAATCGTTGTTGAGAGAATTTCGTTGTAGAGCGTGTGAGAAACATTAAAATGAATAAATGAATGGTACGTGGGATGTGCAATTTTCGAAGTCGGAGTTTACAAAAACCTCGTGTCATCAACTTTTTTTTCTCTTTAGAACTAACAAGTTTTGCTAAACAGTACTCAAGAAGTGAAAACGGGGGTTTTACAAACCCATTAAGCGAACGAGCCCCATAAACCGGAGACTAGAATCAAAAACGTCTCGATGCCTCGCGGAACTGGGACAACCCTCGAACGTTGTCTAGAAACAACAATAACAACAAAACCTCAAGAGGTTTCCTATGTGTGTTCAATAGGTTACGGGTGGGATAAGTGAATCGTGACCCGGATTTACCCCCGGGGCTAAGGATGTTGACATCCACTCTGACATGGCCGGCGGGAATGAAGTGTTTTGTTCCCCACCGGAAGCAAACCTGAGTGGATTGCTCGGGCGGGGTCACCTGCAGAAAACCCCCGGAGGGTAACTTTCAGGTAAATTGAATCCGGGGTTTACGGCTCATCCGCAGTGGTCGTGAAGTAGGTCCTAAAGGCCTCGGAGGCGTAATGTTGGCCATTAGCGTTTCTTTTTCTATTTAAGTCTCTTTTTTCTATCCTTCTTCCTATTCACCGTTGCCTACGGTGGACCTTTTCTAAAATTCGGATTTACTCTAGTCGATCCTGAACCAATTCTTTACAATTTTAATTATTTTCCGAAGCATCCAAATGGATTTCCTGCGTGCAGGGATACGGATTGTACATGATGAATTCGATTATCCGGATACAAGATATTCGGACCGTAATAAGACCAGAAAGATCCGATCGATTCCTTTAAAAAAAAATATTTAACTTCTTCGAATAACACTTTTATACAGTTATAATGAAGCGGTCCCAGTGGTCTAGACTTTAGAAACATAGGTATATTCACCAGTTGGATATGGAAAAAAGTTGTGACAATTTTATAACGTTTTCATTTTAATTCAGCCCATCTTTGCTTCCGGAATTCTCAGATTATAACTAACTGAAATCTAATAATGGGAATGTTTTTTTTTTCGAACAGCAAGGGTTGAAAAGTCGCTTTTCCAACGGCTCAGAAAATATGAGCAAAGACGAACTGAATAATTGCCCCATACCAAATAAATTACAGCAGCAGATGAATTTCCGGAAGAAGATGACTAATTTGTCGGGCGAGAATCTGCCCGCGACCCGACATAAGTTGTATATAAAGCTGTAGCTGGAATTTTCCGAATAAACAAATCACTTCAGGGTCACGCACAATTTTAACTGCTCTCACACAAACTTGAATGCCAAGGAAAACTGCGATATTCAGTCAATTATGCACTTGAGTTTAACAGTTGCAATGAATGAAAAGCCAACAAAAATTAACAACTGTACCTTAAAATTAAACGCAGAATTTGAGCAATCAAAAATACAGTCATTCTCACGAAGACGCACTTTACTTACAGTCAATGTCTTCAGATTCAGAGGAGTTTTTTATTATCCTCATGCAACTCATCCATACCAATCACTTGAAAAGAAATGAGGATTTAAATCATTGTATCTGTAAACTTTTCGGTGAAGATTTTTTCGGATACTTGCATAAATCTGAATTCATACGGGTATGTTCATTCTTACCCATGAATTTGTTCGATTATTGCAGATGTCATTGACTACGAGACTTCAACTGTTTCCGCGAAAATATAAAGGTACTGAAGTTTGAGTTTATTGAAGTTGAAGAACGGAACTGAAATATGGTCAGCTGATACCAACAGTTTATTTATTTCAGGGAATGTCCTTTTATAAATAAACCCTCCACTTACCCATCGCTTTTAAAAACATAAAAAAAATATTTCCAAAACTCACCCCATTCCCAGCTGGCCTTCTTGCGTTTGTGGTAGCTTCGACGCCACGGATGGCGCCAAGAGCGCCTCGGCGCCACGGATTTCGGCGGCAGGAAGACAGCAAAAGATCCCTCAAGCGTATCCGGACTTCCGCAAATCGCATGCGAGGTGTCACAGTAGTAAGAACACCTTCCATGGAAGCACAAATTGTTGGCTGGCGAAATGAAAAACGTCTTCAAAAGCTCTCCCTTCGCCAACGCGTACAATTCCGTCGTCATGTTCAACATTCGGCCGACGACCGGAGGTGATCGTCGAAATCCCAAGACTCTGTGAAAGAAGAGTGAGTCGTTTTCATGTAAATCACTGATTCGAAATCAATCACATTTCCAACAACAAAAAATACATTGCCTTTGTCTTTGCCAACAAATCCAAAAGACTTCAAAGAAATGTCAGGGTTCTCTGACGAATTGCTAAAGTTTCCCTTTGTTGTTCACGAGAAGAAAAGAAACGACGACGTGCGACCTGATGTGCGAGTAATGAGAAATACTCGTGACCTGATAATGCTTCACAAAAGACTTGTCTGGTTTCACCGTATAGTTCATTGATATCAGAAGTAATCTGTATTTTTCTTGGAAACGCAATAAATAACACGAAACAAATGCAGTGGCTTCGCGCATGAATGACCACGTCAATTTTTGAAATTCGTTCCTCAAAAAGTAAAATTTGGCATTTAAAAACCCCGCCAGTATTTCTGAAAATGCTTCTAAATGGAACATGCAAATTCAAAATAACCCGTATATATATTTTCGAAAATGTCCCGTTGAGCAATGATGCCTTCAGGTTATTTTATCCAAGGAAAGCTCCGAAATAAAATTTCTTGAAATCCTCTGACTTACTAGAGATTTTCAGATATGCAACTGAGATGATCACGATTTCACGAGAAAACACATTTTACTTCACATACGTTCGAAATTAATTAAGATTCAAACGTGGTCGTTTTCGTTCGAATACTCTTATAATATGAATATTTGAAAAATTCTCGCCAATTTTCGGAAAGCACTTTTGCAGGAGACGACTTCTCCTTTTTTCGGAAAATTTTCAAGTACTTTGCTCACTTTCGAACAATGCCTCAAAACGTGACCTCGCCCAGTGGAATAAGTTGGTGCTGGAGGAAGAAATAATGAAGTACAGCTTGGTTTAATGATCCTGCGAAAAGGGTCAGGGAATTGACTCGTGGTACCGAATGTTCGTGGGCCGGAAAAAAAAAGTCGGAGGAAATGGCGCTGCGGTCATTGTTCAAGCCTGTATTCATTTGTTTTCCTGTTCTAGACTGTTCTGAGTTGGACGGAATCTCGGGCTGTCGTTGATGACCTCGGATTACGGCCACTTGATACTCGTTGTCACCTCGAGGAAATCAATGAAATTTCCGCCTGCCCTTGTAGATAAGTATATTCAGAGTCGAAATTTGGTCTTTCGACCGGATTTTTTTATGTCAGCCTGAGAAAGTTCAACACATCATTACGAGATTCCAACAACGCTAATGATGTCTGACAATAACTCTGATTATTTTTCCGGCGAAGTGTGAATTTTCCATTGATTTACCCCTAGAAAGATTCGATAGTGGCTTTTTGAATATCCTGCAGTTCAAATCAAAAATTTAAATCAATGGAACACATTTTCAAATCGTAGCAAAGTCGATGGGTTGACTTTCAAAATTCAAAGTCAAGCTGTTTTCCAGCTATGAAATGATTTTAGACTCGCATGTAGCCAGAAAAGAGATATTTTGCATTTCAAGGGAGTCGTGTCCTAACTTTCGTTTTCAGAGAGACCAACACACACAAGTTCGAATCATAATCCAAGACTTCGGCAGTTATTTCAATTGTAAAATATGATCTACCCAAACACGACAGTTTGAATCACTTTTGAAGGACCATGAGTTGAAAACGGAATTCTTTTTTTTTTTTTGGAGAAAGACGCAAAAAATTCCCATCAAGAGTCCAAGTCTGATATTATTTGTTTCGGGGAATTCAAATCTGAATTTCTCCAATCAAGAAGATTGTCAAATATTTCTCTAAAAGACTCTCAACGCAAGATTAGCTTTCCCGCCAAGATCAAATGAGAATGAGTTCATGCTGAGTGCAATCATCAACCTCGAACATTTCTTGCTCAAATCCCTGCTCATCCAACCGTAACCCGGTGCAAAATCCACCCGAACCCCAGAAGTGGGACAAAAGAGACCCGTTTTCATTGAGCTTTACTCCGCTAAAAAGTGGGTGTCGACAAGAAGAGCAACCCGACATCGCCTTCAAATGTCCTGAATAGCCGCAGCTGCTTAAGAAAACCACTCACAAGGAATATGATACGTGGGACCAGGCACCGAAAAGCCGAACGACGGGGGTCGGGAAAGGGGGGTTCTCGTCACGGGCGACGATCGCGAGAAAGGCTCTCATTAACCCCCTTTTCTCTCCATCTCGGGGGGTATAAAAGGTATACCCCCGGGAAGTGGAAAAGTCAGTGGTGCATTTGAATATCAACCACACAGTGGTTTCGGTGAATGGCCGCAGACCCGAATGGAAACCCACCATTTCCCTGGGTTTCCTTTGATTTTCCAGGCCCTGGTTTCTGATAAAACGTGGGGGGGTTGATCCTCGATTTCTGGGGGATTTGTGAGTGTAATAAGATACGAGTTCCCTGCATTCGGTGACGGAAATATCCGAAAGATATTCATCAAAAGTGAGATTGCCGGTGCAAACCCAACGTGACCGAGGTTTTGTCTATGATTCAATGCTATGATTCAAACTTGAATCATAGCATTCAAGATTGCCATCGGTCAAGGGAATAAAAACGTGTTTTCGGTTACTTACCCAGTAAAACACACCCTCATTTCCTGAGGCAAATAGACACATAATACCATATTGTACTGGCTGTTCAATACATTATTCACGATTATCGTAGAATTTATTTAGAAACCTTTTCTATCGTGCATTTTTTCGTTTAAGAAAATTGTGTCCAATACACAAATATGTCGCTGCTTGAATTATTCTATGACCACCGGAGGACAATTTTGTTTTGACTATCTTCAGAAAAACACACTTTTCAAATTTGCGGTATCCCGAAACGGTTTTAGCTGCTAAATTGCGGGAAAAACTACACATTCATGGTCATTCCATTTTCTTTCAATGATATTTAACTTTATGGTTTCAGCGAAACTATTTTGACTAGCGAGGATTTCAGAGAAAAAATTGTTGGAGAGAAATTTGAACGGCATTTTATGAAGAGGGTTGAAAGTTGAGCTCAAAAGATGCTTTTTACAAAAAACTAAACTCAGAAAGTTTAGGAGGGCAGCAAGTTTAAATTTGCCTCATTGATATCAAGGGATTCTTGGAGATTTTTAAAAACATTTTTATGCAGACTTTTCTTCACAGCATTCCAAATAAAAAGAAAAGAAGATTTAGGTGACGGTAGAACAAAGCTGCCCCATCAAAGTTATTTGCAACCTTGGCGATTACATTTTTCAAGTCGAGCAAAAATGATTTTAAAATGTTCCAGCTTTCAAATTTTTCCGGCTTATTTCAGAAATTGTTGAATTTTCCTAGAACTACGCGATTATAAGCCCAGGAAATTCAGCGTTTTTCGATAAAAAAGAATCGTCAATCGAAAGCAACGGTTTAAAATATTTGCATGTTAAAATTGGAGAGAGAAAATCTTCCGAAATAATTTGAAAAATGTACTTCCGGTAAGCCGTCTATGAATTTTAACTGCCATGAAGTTGAGGTAAGCATGCTAGCATCGCACACAACCATAAAATTTGATTACTCGAAAAAAACCGACGTTTTCTTACAGTGACGGTGGCCACTCGGAAATAATTGCACAATATTCATGATCTTTTCGGCAAGAACTTTAAAGGAATTCGAACAGTCGCTATGTAGTGACGAAACATCCAATACAAAGAAGCATTGAGGAAGTGGAAGCTGCCCGTGGATCTCGCCCCGATTTGCATAAAACGATTTGGCTTTTGAAGTCGAACAGGGAAAAGGGGACTTGGAACCCTCGTGCAAAAACATGGGATGCAATGGCATTCGTTGAGTATTCAGAGAAAAAGTTGTACGGTTTCCAGAAACTCGGAAAGCTTACAAAGATCTCGTTTGGATCGTTAGTTTCCGCACTGCTTTCGCGAACAGTAAAAAAAAATTCGAGGTTCGTCTGTATAGATGTCACATCGTATTTCTCTGGGGATTTCGATGGAATGAACCCCCTAACTGATCTTGAATAATTGCATCGGGTTCCCCCTAGTGACGGGAATCTGTGCGAATTCGGGAATCTTCTATAGTCCCCACCCTGAAACGTCGTGTACAGTACATCGAACATTTCTCATTCTTTTGATGTGGAAAATTCTAGGCTTTTATTTCCTGCTGGAAACATGAAAATTACATTTGCGATTCTTCTAAAAGCTCCGCTGCACTTTCACGCCTCTCTGTTTTCATGCTTTCATCACTTTCAAAGCTATGTTGAAGAATGTTCGAGTAGAACGCTAGATTTGGAACATTGACCTTCTCTTACTGCAAAAATTCTCAATGAGATAAACGAGCGATTTCGAACAAATTTTTGAAAATTTAAACAAAACAATATCGCTCAAATAGCCTTTCAATTGTCCGATCCAATGATTCCTGTGAAAAAAAAAACTTTAGAGTTAAGAGCTTAGGTATTTATCACTCACAACAAGCCACCAGATTGTTCCCGAATCGTGGTTATTTCTCAAATGTTTTTCGAAAAGTCGCATCAGAAATCGAAAGACTATTTTTATGTGTCAAGGAGTTATAACATTGCACGAACATTCTGAACAAGAAGAGCATTCATTGAACCCAAGCCTAGCTGATAGATAACTAATTTCTATAATTTTATGTTCCCCGCAGTTTTTGATTGAAAAATCCTGCAGCTTTTTTTTTTTCAAATATTCGGAAAGCAATCTGTATATAGAGCTTAGACTGACGTCTTTTGAAAAAAATTGAAAATTCAGCGGGCATTAAATATAATAATCATCTGACAGGCGCTCACTTTCTACTGCAATTTTGTTTCATACGAATTGCGAATTTGGATTATTCGCCAAAATCTGACTCTACTTGAAACAAGGCGTTTCTCTCGGATTAAACATCTTTGACGGGAAAGGTTCAATGCCTACATTAATTGGCAATATCTCAGCAGATCTTGAAACGATTCAAGAAAAAGTACTGCTCGAGGTACTCGCAAAAAAAAACTGTACCTGTCCAGATGGAACGCAGCAATCTCAGCATTGTGTCTTTCGAAGTCCGTGAAGTAGAAGTGATTCGGCAACGTTTCTTGCTCTCTGGAGAACCTGGAAAATAAAATAAGAATAACGAATAAATCAAATGACGGCTCATTCAATGTAATGTTACAGGTTTTATCTTTTTCTTAAAGCAGGATCCGAAGCGAAATTGTTTTGTATATACCGACGAGTCCCTCATTAACCGCTGAGCCTTTGACATCGAACAATCCCCGATATTAAGGAAGGCGCAATCAGTCTGAGTGGGCGTTTCGGAGCCATCACGTGAGAACGACAGGAAAACTGTGACAGCGTTTTCTATTTCTCAGGCACACTTTCTCATCTTGCTCACTTTTTTTCCCCCATAATATTTACTTTTTGCGTTTCGTCGTCGGTTCCCTTCATCCCATTCAAAGGGATTGTTTCTGTCCCAGAGGAGCCAGCGAATGTTCGCCCTTGTCTTTTTTTTTTTTCAAGTGTCCGTCGTCTTGAGAAGCATACTGTACTTTCTTTGCTCTCTCCATCTCTTGGCATTGGGAAGTTCGTCTTCATTCTTTCCCCTTATATTTTCTTGTTTGAAATGCATATCGGCATTTCGTCCAACAGCCGAGTTTTGCGCGACAAAGAAATCACTGGGGCGCAAATGCGAGTACAATGTAGGAATATGGAAGTCGCTTTGAAATTGGAATGACTGGACTCCACTGGAGTCACTGGACTTGGATTGAACAACAAAAAACGTGGGTAATTTATTGAATGAACATCTTCATTAAACGTTCGAACGGCAAAGGGATCATTGAAATCTTCGAGTCTTTCGAGAATACTGATTGTAATCATCAAATTAAAGTGCACGCCATCATCACGCGAACATAATTAGTCAAGATTATTGCTTTACGCAGCGGATCACGCAGAAAACAATTCCCAACTAGAATTATAAGAAATAAAACTAGTGTCTGCAAGCATTTTGTATTGGAAAAATAAATGAAAATTCCGAAGAAGGAGAAAGAAATGGACTGTAATTTACTGGATTGAAAATAAAACGAGGAAAAGGAGTTGTATAAAATTATTACATGATAACATATTTCAATGAATTTTACATAATTTTAAAGTGTATTCCAATTGTTATCTTTCAATGAAAAGAGGACGATTTCGTTTTATTAAATTTTTATTTTTTTAAGGGATAAATAACCAGAATACCGTATATGTACATCTTTATTGTTTACTCCACACGTAAAAGCAATAGAGTAAAAAAATATTTATATTCAATCGTAATCATTTCTCGACACTTGAGTATAATGAAGCACTTGAAAAATGCAATCATGTTTTTAAAAAATGGAAAAATCTAAAAGGCTGAGAATTTCTCTGAAGTTTCAAGTGTTCCACCTTCCACCCGGACTGTTTTTTCGAGAGGTTAAAAATTTCTGAAAAATCTTCAAACATGTTTCTCATCATTTCACACAGAATAAGGTTACAAATACTGTACTGCTACATCTTGAACAATATTCAGTGTAAAATCTGAAAGGTTACATGAAGCTCTGGCCTATTAAAATGACACGAACTTCACTATACGGCATTTCATAAATTTTCTGGTGAAGATAATCATCATTTTAAGAAGTGGTTAAATTGCCATTGGGTAGAACTAAAATAATTAATAAAAATCTTGTGATTTTCCCCCAAAGCAAATAAAAAGTGGGAAGGAAAAGGCGTGAAGTATTTCATCATTACACTGTAAACACTCGAATTTTTCTATAATGTCGGTTTCAAGGTCATCGGAGGGTCATTTTTAAAAGCTTATGCGAACCATCCGCCCCGAAATCTTGTTACCAAGTTGTGGAAAACTTGGACTCGAGTTTCGAGCACAGCCCCAGATCCCGAGGAAAAAGTTACGGGGGTCCAAGAAAAAACTTCCTCACACCCTTGACGGATCTTATTACGTGTACCTTTCGGCCGGGGGATGGGCCAAGAGCAAAGAAAAACGGGGGGTAAAGGGGGAGGGGGGGGGTTTGCGAGGGCGAAAAGACCCCCACAGCAGGATCGTACACGTCATTTTACTTCTACGTCAGCGAGGAAATGAAATTTACAACACACACCCCCACCCGACATCTGATAAGGGTATCAGTTACGCGCTGCTCTTCTGGGAATCGACGGGCGAAAACATTCATGTCAGCGGGATCCCTTTTACATTTTTGACCCTGCCTGTTGTATTTGTTTTTCATCTTGCCAAGCAGAGAGAGAGAGAGAGAGCGAAAAAAAGAAGGAAGAAAATTTGGTGAACCCTTGGAAAAAAAAGGCATCTTTACATTGTTGTCTTGGGATGGAGCTCGTGATAATTGGATTTCGGCGAACGTTAGAGCCGCAAACATTCCGTCGACAGCGTATGTTCATTCTTATTATTGGCAATGCTGCAATAATGAAATATTCGAGAAACAAGTCTGACTCATTTGCTGAGGAAATTCTCTTTTCAATGCCTCCATTCTTTCGGTTTTGGGGGGAAAACCCGGAAAACACAACGTAATTTTTACCTCGGCTTGTGCTGATGGGAAAACTCGAAGTGAAATTATTTCGAAATAATCAAATTATATTGCGTCAGACTCTCGACAAAAGCTTTTTTTTTTACACCACAAAGAAGCTTGACTTTCACGGGGGTGGGGGCTTTCAAAATCGAAATGAGTCTCTGAATGATATCGAATTTACGAATGGGGCGGATTTGCGCAGAAATGAAAAGGGAATATTCAATTATTGCACAAGGAGGTTTGAGTCTTTGAATTTGATTAGATAGTAGAATTTTCCAGGCGAATTTCTCAAAACTAAGCTTCAGAAAGAAGATTTTTTTCCCGTGTAGAATAAAAAGAACAATTTTAATTTACTATACAGTACAGTTGTTGAACAAAGGACATGCAACAAGGGATATTTTCAACTTTTCGAGGCGCTTAATTTTTTTTTAGACAGTTGATTTCATTTCAAGCAATAGTTTTCACGTTGCGCAATAAGGAAAGCGGAAATATAAATTTATGAACATTTTTGCGCTAAAAAGATCCCAATGTTGAAACTGGACGCGAAATTCACTTCGAAGCATTTTCATCTCCATTTCGTAGCAAGATACAGTAATAATAATAATAATGAATACATCGCCATGATTTTATATGAGCTTAGAAACCTTTCAAAGCGGTCTCAATCGCGTAAATGAACCATGGAAAATGGAATGCAGCCCAGTCTGTGAATGAACTAATCCCGGGGGCAAACAACAGGCAACAAGAATGTACAGCATAGTATTTTTCATCTCATTCCCATCCGCAGAAAACCCCTCCTTTTGTCCATCAGAAGCCCTGAAAACCTAGAGACCTGGAAACTGCGGCCCCTGAGCAGAAAAGCAGTCGTTCCTTTATCTATTCACTCCATTGAAACAGGAATCGGATATCCGTAGCTATCTCGACGTTTTTCTTTTGCTTTCGGCGGAAAAAAAAAGCCAACCAGCTGTGCTTTTTTCCACTGTAATGACAAGAAACGCTTTCCTCTCATTTCACCTCTGCTGATGATTACTTTCTATCCTTTTAGTCGACCCCGATCATCAGATACTGCGAGCAGGAGCTAGTCGAAAGAACGATTGCCTTTAATCAGGTTTTCTGCTTTTGGAAGCCAAGACGAGGCTTCGGTGAAGCAGTTCATTATTAGAAGATGCAGTGATCATTTTGTTTTGAAATGGCTAGCTTCCATAAAACCCTGACAACAGTAAAAATAATCTCGCATTTCGAAGTGCGAGGTACAGTATGCTTGAAAAGATTTGTCTATGTCTTTCTATCAAGTTCTTCGGATACTTATCGAGTGTTCGCACAAAAATCCTTCAAACCACGGCGTGATTATCCGACAAAAAAAACTGACATCACTCGCCGAAAATTCTGATGCAATGCAGTTGTTGTTCATCGACTGACTTACTTAAAAAAATTCATATCAAAAATTGCCGACGCATAATTTTCACAGATCAGGTTCCTGTATTTTTGTACGTCGAAAAAGCGGTTTAAAGGTACGGGGAACCGTCGTCGTCATAAAGATATAGTAAATAATTTCGATTGTTCCAAACAATACTTTAATGGGTTCATCAGCTATTTGACAGCCTGAAATTCATAAAACATGCAAGTGTGACAAGCAAACTAATTTCTTCACAGTTATAATTGCGCTTCGAAATCTGTCGTCTGAGAAAAGGTATCAGGAAATACACTTGGCTAATGATCGACGAAATCACATCAATTATTATCCATTCGGAAAGACTCCATCGAAGACAGAAAGAAAACCCCCGTAAACATGATTAACATGTCATCTTAATTATGAGCACTTATTTATTGATAGAATTTTGAAAGCACGAAACCAAGAGAGTACAGGTGGACTCTCTCAATATCGAAATTCAAGGGACCAGACAAAAAATGCTGTAGAGAAAATTTCGTTGTAGATAAAACCTATATAATAAGGGGAGGGAACTCCATATGGGACCCACACTTAATTCGTTATACAGAGAAAATCGTTGTAGAAATTATTGGTGCTGAGAGTCCACCGCCTGTTTATTATGGTTAGTCAAACCCGGGACAATTTTCATCACAACATCACGTTAATTTTTGCATGATGAGTGTGAGACATGCTTCTTATAAATTGCTTTGCCTGTAGCTAACTTTGAAAAATAAAATGAAAACAACCAACGAGACGATAAGCGTTACGTATATAGCGTCACTTAGAGGAAATCGATGGTCTCCTCTTGATTCGAAGTACACGTTTAGTGGCATCAAGAATACATCTACTCACTCCTGACTTTTTTTTTTGCCCGGCTCTCCACATTTGAAAGAGAGAGAGAGAAAAAAAAAAGATACGTTATACAGCACCCACGGAAGAAAGTGTCCCCACCCGCAGAAATAAGTGATTTATGTCTGGAAACATTCCCCGAGTCGTGAATCATGCCCGCGGAAATGAAAAACTGCACCGGGGTGGGCAACACAACGCCCGCGAATCAGGAAGCTTCCTCTATTTTTTATTATTTTTCAACGCCCTCTGATTGATGATGAGTTCCTTATGGGGAGGTTTACTTTTAT